ATAAACTATCAATGAAGATTGTGAAAATACGTTCAACTTTATGTTTCTTAATATCATATATAAGAATAATTTTTTTATTTCTGCCATCACATAAGTAAAACAGAAGTTGAGAACGCTTTAAAGAAAAATAAGTGTGAAAAAGTAACAAGACATTACGGTACTTCAATTAAAGTGTGAAAATATTTAAGAGATCTTAGATTTGTTAGTTTACTAAACTTTTTACTATTATTTAAAAACTAAAATGATGATTGGTGAGTGTAGAAAGAGTATATTGGTTCTTACTTTAAGAATAAAGCGAATATACAAGAGTGTGCAAATTATATAAGAATTAAGTTAATGAGCATACATTAAAGTTATGAATAGAGTAATTAAACATAGAATACGACGTGATACAAAAGTTTCTCAAAATTGAGTTGGATTCATGTCAAGTAAGTCAACTATGAAAGCTATACATTTCTTGAGAGATTTCATGGAGAATTACAGAGAGAGCAAGGAGGATCTATAAACGATTTTTGTTTATTTAGAAAAAACATATGATATGGTTCTAAGAGAAATAGTTTGGAGAATTTTAGAAAATAAAGTTGTTGATATTGTTTATATTCAAGTTATTAGAGATATGCATACTAGAGTTATTATAATACATATTAAATTTCTATATGCATTTACTTTTAGTATAGTCTTACTTTACTTTTACTTTATATTATTAATTTTCACATCTTTCTTAGGAGCATTATAAAAACATAACCTAACACACCTCTGACCAACATTATTCCGTCAGCACAGCTTTTACATTACTTTCATATAAGACTTGTATTTATTTTTTTAAAAATCATGCAATTCTTACTAAAATCTAAGATCGTATGATAATCTAAAAGAAGCACATTTACTCTAGTTCAAAAAAATCAAATCATAATCTAACATACACGTCTAGCCATACATTAAGCTAGCATATACAACTTTATTTAAATAAAAAGATCGTGTAGTAATCTGGTATCTTCATAAAGTAAACCATTGTGCAACTATTAAGACATTAACAATTAACATGCATATATCATGACTAACCATATGAAGAATTATATGCAGTAATTTCATTGTGCAGCTAGTTAACATGCATATTTATCATGTCTGACAATATGAAGAATCTATTTTTGAACTAGGACATGCATGAAATCAAACATATAATTTGAAATAGGGATAATTACTGGAATTTAAAAATATAATTACTCATCTCAACTTTATTTGTTCGTTTTACAGGCTCTGTGTCTCTAATCTCAGGTTTAAATGTCCTTCAACTTTAATTATTGTTGTACACTAATATTTTACTAAAAAAATTAATTGTAAATTCTAAATTAAATACATTAAACTTTAACTTTAATTAGAACATACCTTATTTTTCAAAGTGATTCACACTCGCTATCAAATTATATGCCCCATACTTCAAGTACGTCATGTTTCAAATACAACTAATATTAACACCATCTTAATTAAAACAATTTATAAAATTAACAAATAAAACTTATAAAGTTTCACCTTACCCTTATTGTGTGAAAATCAAATTTTCAGCCTCCTAAACTTACGAAGTAAAAGTTCTTTGATAAAAAGAGTTCTGTTTTAATTTAATAGAAGCTATCATTAATACTTATAACATTCGTTTAAATTAAAAAAATAAAAAATTAAAACTTACCCTATATTAAAATAATTTCGATTGCTGCCCTTAGCCACACGTGCACTAGCTGTTGCCTTTCTCCTTCACATCAAAGCATACCACATACAATACTCATAAAACCATATGTTAATATTATAACATCTTTAATCTATACAAATTAAAACTAAATATCATGTAACTTATCTAATGTGCACCGTCTCCCCTTTATCCCGAACGACGCAGGTTCCATCACACGCATCCGGCGCCCCCTCCTCTTCTCTTCTTCCTTCGACTTGATTTCCCACGTAAGCACCAGCACTCGCACTAAACCTAATTTCTCTCTGCTCGATCTTCATGTCTCGTTTCCCTTGCACAAGCAATGTCGAACTCCTCCCGCAACCACTAGCACTGATCGTCAAAGCCCAGTGAGTATCCTTCACCTACGGTTAGGGCTTGAACTTCCTTCATACAGATGGCGCTGAAACTAAGCATGAGCCACTCCTTCCTCTTGCACGAAAGCTTTGCCTTTTCTTTCGGCTACACAAGTGTGGATGGGTTTCCTCTACACTTGACGTAAAAACTTCGGTAGGAGAAACACTCGAATCCTGCTCCGTCTTCTTCTTCACACACTGCCTCTCACACTCTCTTCCTGTCTCCTACTCTGTTCGTTTCACTTTGTTCGGAATGGAGAGACAAGACTTTTGAAGTTACAATTGAAGAGTTGCTTCCATTCGATTATTAACATTTTTTTTAATTGGTTATTACATTCAAAATGAGCATGTCCTAATGCTTCAAATCTTGTAAGCAACATCCATTGGCTATCTTCTAATAGAAAAAACTTCCATTAACTTTTCATAATTGCGCATGACTTTCAAGAAGTTTGTAAGGCTACTCACGTGATTAAGAATAACAAGTCAACTGTAATAATGAAAAAAAAAATTGATAATGCAATGGAAAATATACCTGAGTGAAATAGTAATACGTTTGATCACGACTTTGGCTCAGTTAAAGGAGATTATGAATGTGTTGGCAAGAACCACTAACCTATTAATGTATAACCCAATGATTAGTTAGTGGAAGAATCAAACGAAAAATGGTACAGGAAGGCTTAGATAAAGGCAGTACCATCAAGCAAATGAAGATTTCCTAAAGGACACCAATTTTGAGAATCTTGTTTAGAATGATAGCTAGAAACTTATCTTCACAACATGAACCAGCTAACTACAGAAGTACTTTGGTTCAAGAGTACAGCGCATGCCTTGAACAAATTCTTTTCCCATATCAGTGCCTCAAACAACTTAGTTTTCAAAATATTTGTAAATTTTGCATTTGTTAATGCTCATTCCTTAAACAAAGAAACTCTCAGCCGAGCAGTTAAATATGTTTTCATTGCTGTTATCCCACACAAAATAGTCACAAGTGACACCATGATACCATGAAAAAGGTGTATGTGTTTATTGATGTTCCTTTCAATGAAAAAATCACTACCTTGTTATTACTTAATCTAAGGTAGAAATATTATTCAAAAATATTATTTTCCAAAAGATTGCCCTTCATTAAGTCATGTCCCAACAAATAACTCTTTAGAACCAGTCACACCAACTCACACTAAGCCAAAAAAAAACCATTTTCTACTCAGCAATTAAAGCTTTACATAAGAAAAGATGTATCTCAATCTATACAAGTTCAATCAACCGAATCAAATCTCTATCACTGAATCTGTTGAGGGAACTATTGAACATACAAATAAAGCTACAAGAACATCCACTAAACATTTATTACATTTCTTTTTTACAATGCAAAAAAATTTCTTTAATCGCCAATCCTTCCTCATACTAGCTTACATAATAAATCTATACTTGCAATTGTGTTTAAGAATTCCAATAACATAAATTGGAACAATGTAATGATGGAAAAAATGACAGCCCTTCAAAAAAAAAAAAGAAAAGAAAAAAGAAATCATGAGAATTGATGAAGTTAACATAAAGAAAGATGCCCGTCGGATGTATATGAATCTTTATTGTAATATGCAGTCTGATAATTCACTAGAAAGGTATAAGCTCAAACATGTGCATGCTAGTTCTTCGCCCGAGCCTATGCCCTTAGTCATCCCCACCAATCCATCATACTCGCATGTATTGGTTCCTTGCCCTAGAGCCCACCCCTGGCTGGTCCATTGCTTTGCCCTCCTTGTCAACCCACTAGCTAGTTTCATGGATTATGCCTTTCACCTTGCTTGGTTAATTTTAATTGCTACATCATGGATCCATGAAATTTCGTAGACCTACTGTAATTATTATATAATTATTATTACCTGATTTTTAATATTTCCTATTTGAAGCTCACTATGATTTTATAGATACTTAATAGATAATGAAATGAAACACAAAACCTAATACTCTCTAACTCTTGATAATTGGTCTCATTGACTAATCAAGAAAAATCTTTAGGTTATATCGGATCTACCTTCCATTGATACTCAATGGTCGATAGGCAATCGTTGTTTTGATAAACTATAATATATTGCAATCCAGTAAGTCTTTTCTAAAGCTCACAATGTTTTGATTTGGATTGCTCTTCTAAGAGCTGACTATATGCTGAACCAGCTAACATAGAAAGTGAAGCTCATTTTTTCATTTTGTTTATGAATATGAAACTCAACAAGATTCAATTGCATCCAACTTCAGTTTAGTCATCTACCTTGGATATACAACTTCAATTTTTTTATTCGCAAACTCATTTTCCTATATTTTAATTTATTTTCTTACTGCTTCCATTTAAAAGGAGTGCTCGCAACAAACTGGATGCAAACAAACTGTAAATACACCAGTTTCAAGTCATATTCCTGCGGGACAGGTCATCATTAGTGTGCTTGAGAGAGGAACTTTATCCCCATTTGGTTGTTTGATGAATGAAAATCTTATGCATGCAGAGCTTCTATTAAGTTCTCTTCTTAATATTATGATAGCTGGATCAAGTAAGGGGATTTTATACCATGGCTATTTACACCGGAAGTATCAATGGAATGTGTAAGAAGCTTGTGTTTGTGCAGGGTTTGCTATGTGTAGGATGTAAAGACTCTCAAGATTCAAATGAGATGATAAAACCTAAGGTTTTTTATGAATATTGTGTCCCTTCTCAGGCACAAAACAACTTCAAAGATATTCTGCCTCAGGTGGCTGCAAAAATATTGCAAATAATGTGTAGGCAGATATGCAAAAACCTATGCATTAAGTATGTATGTTAAACAAAGAGCAAAATAAAACAACCTAAAACTGTCAGATTACAAGTCGAAATATCCGGTATATTAATAAAAGTAATGTCAATTAAAACAGACGTTAATGAACAATATTACCCTGTGTGAATCTGCACAGGCAAGTTGAAGGACTGTGCAACTTCTAGGCTACATGTAAATATGTAATCGATAAAGCCTTTACTCTTGATCCGAACAGGTTTCCCACCTTGAAAAGATAAGTGTATAATGGTGATGCAAACCGGTAAACCTGTAGTATTACACATATATCCCCAGAAAACATTCACATGCAGACACACTAAGTTACCCTGCAAGTCTTGGAGAAGACCTTCCTCGGCGACAATCTTGCTGACATTTGTATCTATCTGTAGACCACTTCGATAGGCAGCTATGCTTTTCATTGCAACGATCTTATCAACAACTGTGACATTCAAGCTAAGGAAATAGCAATGGATGTATTAAAAATTAATTAATAGAAATTTCATGATTTTAAGCAACACAATACGCAAGAAAATGGCTAACTGCATCCTTTGCCTACCTGGCATGGCATACCGAAAAAGGCTGATTTACTACTAGCCGGAGGCAGTGGACCTTTAGCATTTTTTGGAACATGACTTCGTTTGTGTGGTAAAATTTTAAATTAATCTTTGGATTTTGAGCTTTGGCTGTAGAGTTAGAATGGATTTGAATTTATGGCTAGGATTTCAGTAATGGCTGCTTTTGTAAACCGACAGTTGCAGGTTTTAGCGGTTTGCAGAGGAACTGCAACGAAATTTTCAAGCACGTGAGTTGCCGGTTATGGTTTTCTGGTAGCCAGTGTTAACCATATTTACTAATTTTGGGGATAAAAAATCAACAAATAGTTGTTCCAAAAAAAATAATTAGAAACTTTTCTCTTTACTAAAATCTCTGTTACTAATTTTGATCATACGAGTGCAATAGATGTGGGATTCCTGCCAGTAAAAATATGATAACTAAATCCTTAGAGAAGTCATCTCCTTGTACCGAAGTAAAACCTATTTTTCTTACTTCTACAATTTCGTTGCTCTATTTCATCTACATGCTCTGATATTATTGCTTTGATATTATTAACTTATTTAGTGCTCTTAATTTATAGAAATTTGACGAAATCTAATATGTAAAAATTAAATTCAAATACTTGATGACTTTATGTGTTTCAAATTTCTTGTCGAATATTTGAAATTATTTCTATTATGTCATTGTCAGTTGGGTTATAATTATAAAATTGTCCGTTTCACTTCATCATATCAGCTAGAAGTAGAGCAATCAACAAGTCAAGCAGAAAAAAAAAATCAATGATGTGATTTGAATGGAATGGGGTAGGTTGTGGTTTTAGTCCACTACAATGATGTTTGACCTGTAATAAAAAGATAAAGATAATAAGAGAAAAGAGAGCACGTCAAGCGCATACATGCGCTCCCCTCTCCATTACTCGCACATATCCCTGAAGAAGGGCCAAATGGATTTCACAAAAACAAAACAAAGCTTGTTCCTCCCCCATCCCACTTATAATCCCTCTTACACTCACAATTTGGTCCCCTCTTCTAACCAAACTCTCAACAAGAAAGAAACAAGGAAGGCACACAAAATTCGTAGAAGATAGCATTGATGTGATCACCATGCGTAAAAATGAGAGTTGCATGAAAGGCATCGACGGGATCAGCTGTGTCTGGAGAAGCCGCACAGAAGGAATAGAAGCTCATGGGAAAAAGGCATAGAAGTTAAAATTAGTCTCCCCTTCCCACCAGCAGTTGTCCCAAGCATCCCGGGCCATGTCCCTACCATCAAACGACTGTTCCAGCCCTCCTAACCACCTCCCTGCCGCAAATCCATTGTTCCAGGGAACCCAAATTCCACCTTGCTGCCACCCAGGACAGCAAGGACCTGTTATTCCGCTGTTATATCCGCCCGTTTTCTCCTCGTTTCAACCTTATTGCCACCTTCCAAACTCCCGTTGATCACAACTACCTGTTACGCCTATACGTGAGTCAGTCCTCCCTGGACTGGCTGAAGTCATCATAGCCGGCCCACAGACGGGTCGATCTTGGCAACAGAATGAAGAGGGGCAAACAGGGGGAGCCGCAAAAGAAGGAAATGATAGGGAGGGGTCTACTAGGGCCAAAATCAACTATGCAAGGAGGAGAAATTAAGAGTTTAGAGGGAAAGTGAGGAAGGAAAGTTTTTGGATTGCTAAGAGGGGATTCTATTAAGGGAAGAACCTAGGGTTTGCTTTCTTTATGCATAATTTTGTTGGCTATTGTGTTTTCTTCTTTTGGTGGTGTTCCTAACAATGTCTAGGGTGTGGGGGAGCCGATCTACCTCACGAAAGTAGATCATCATTTGTATATTGCTTGTTTGCATTTGTTTATCACAAGACAGCCCTTAATTGACTTTTTTCCATCTATCCATAGTTGTTTCGCTGTTGTTGCTTGCTGATTTTGAGTCCGAAGTGTATCAAATTGGTATCAGAGCATAGATCTTAGCGGGATGGCAGCAAAGAAAGTGGATGTACTAGAAGGCAAGGTAGGGCAAATCAAATCAGGAATGGAAGAAATGTACGCCACCATAGAGGAAAGGTTTTCCTTCATTGAAAGTTGAATTGAGGATGGATTTGAAAGCATAAGAGAAATGTGGGAGAAGATGAAAGCTCAAGGAGAAGCAAACCAAGGCCATGCCAATCGCTCCAGTTGCCAATTCTAACCAAGGATTGATCAATAAATCCTTGGCTAGAAAAGAGATCGAACGAGAAGACTACGAAGAAGATCTCATCTACCTATAAGAGCGTCCCCCTAGAACTCCGAGAAGAGGGGAAGCAGAGACTTCCGATGGAGGGGATGGGACGAAAATTAAAGGAGGGATGGTGTAAGGGGCAAGGAAGAGCACGATGAAGGAATGAGGGATTCAGGAGTGAGATATGCCTATGACCGAAGGAGGCACTTCCACTCTAAACACATGGGGGGAAATACCAGAGGAAGAGTCGGTTGGGACGGAGATCTGAAGATGTCGATCTTCGAAAGGAATGATGCACATGGATGGTAATATCCGGTAGAGCGATACTTTGCGATCAACGGATTGACTGAGGAAGAGAAGCTCATGGCAGCGGGAGAATGCTTGAAGGGGAAGGCTTTAGTGTGATTGTAGTGGATAGAGTCAAGGCACCTGATACACTCATGGGAGGAGTTTAAGAATTGCTTGTTGGAACATATCCGAGCCATTTGGGACAGAGACCTACAAGAGAAATTATATGCTCTGACTCAGGAGGGGAAGGTTATGGAGAAATGAGAGAAGTTTGAGCTCTTGTCGGGGAGGTTGATAGGAATTTCTGCAGCAGTCTTGTAAGGGAACTTCTCGAAAGGCCAGAAGGCCGAAATACAAGCGGTCATCCTCCCCTTGAGACCGCGAGGATTGAGGGAAATGATGGAGCTCGCCCAGAAGATATAGGACAAGAAATAGCTGACGAAGACTAGTAAAAGCGGCGACAACGGAGGATTCTGCAAGAGCATCTTAACAGCCACGACATCAAAGACCCAGGCGGCATTGTTTCAGAAAGAGATCTCAAAGGTAGTTTCAAGCGCCTCACAGACGCAGAAGTGCAAGATAAAAAAGCAAAAGGATTATGTTACCGCTGTGATGAGAAATACGCCCCAGGACACAGTTGCAAGGAGCGAGTCCTTTAGATTCAGTTAGTTCAGGAGGACGATACAGAGAGTAAGCGATCAGAAGAGGATGCAGTGGAGGATGAGCATCTGCATTTGGATTGTTGGAAGAAACTACTCCAAAAGAATCTCCTTCTAGTTTCACTGCGAAAAAGGATCGCATATTCTAGAAAATCAGAACAATAAATTTAAGCACATAAACAAAATCAAAACAAACAGAAAAGCACACGAAAATTTACATATAAAAACCCAAGAACGGGAAAAAACCGCGAAGCTACACCATCATAAATTCACTATGAAAATTAGATAGTTTTACAAAAGACACAAATTTCTTCTCCAAGCTCAGATGAAGAAATTTACAGGACGCCACTCCACACTCTTCCACTGATCCGACGCAGAAACACGCATTAAAAAACACCATAATCTTTCTCACCAACACTTCTCACCTTCACCAGGATTTTGTTGATAAACAAACAAGAAGAGTTATGCTCCAAACCCGCACATATGTTGCTCGAAATTGTGACATTAATAGTAGTTCTATTAAAAACTACTATGGGCTCTAGAAACGGGTGCCCCGCCAGAAACCCACTTTGAGCATAGGACTTCCACCTCGGTTTGGGAACACTCAATGAGGACTTAAGCGCCCATAGCTCTGTGCCTTGGCATCGGGTGCATTGACTGCGTGGAAGCCAACATGTTTACTGCTCATGGGTGCAACAATCAGAATCCACAACTAACATGGATGCGGCGGAGGTGTCCCTTAATTCTGTGGTGGGATTTACCCTAAATCACATAATGAAGATGAGAGAGTGGATCAGGGAACAACCGATTGTGTTGTTGGTAGATAATGGGGCCACACATAACTTCGTCTTAAATCAAGTTGTGAAGAAGCTAGGGTTGAAGCTGGTGACTACCGGGAGCTTCGGCGTCATGATGGGGACAAGGAAGGTAAAGATAAGTCAATAAATTTGCAAGGGATTGGTTGTAATTTTGGAGATGAAGTGGCTCTAAACATTAAAGGAGATGGTGGATTTGAAGTCCTTGACAATGGAGTTCCAAGTGGACGGTAGGAAGGTGATATTGAGAGGGGATTCTAATAACAAAATTTCAACTTTGCATATATGCCACCGTACCTTTGCATGAAAAGATGTGTCACTTTTTAAAAATTAAAATGGTGGTATTTTTTATGTGATATTAAAGATTTAGATGGTATAAATGTAAAAAAAAGGTGTTAGATATACATAAGAACTGGATCGGAGGTACGTAAATGCCTCTTTTCTTAATCCCACATAATAATGCATACTGTGCCAGTAGTTCAAATAATAATGATATTGCGCCAGAAGTCCCCAAGTCATCAACAAAATTGCCAGCACTTAGAATTAAACTTTCAAAACAAGCAAAAATAATACAGCAAAGGATATGATTCCAACCGTCCCAAGAAAATATGAGAGAACAACTCCAAAGTCCAATTTGATTCACCATACCTCTCCTGTAAATCAATATTTGCACAGAAAACTAACACGTTATACTAGGCAATATGGACAAATATGATGCTTCATAATAAAGATCATAATTAATTAAAATACAGATAAATAATGAAAGAAAAAAAAAGAAGATGACATCAAAGAAGAATAAAATGTTATTATTATATAAAAAAACTATGTTTAAAACTAAATGAACACATATAATGATTACCGAAAATGATAATTATTAACTCAACTGTTTAAATGCAAATAAAGGCAAACAAAAAAATAACATAATCAAAAGACTAAAGAAAATAGCCTTACATCAATATGTACTCTCAATTATGCCATAAGAGCTTTGCAAAATTAAGAATAATTATATTCATTAATATCAAATGGCCTAGCCATTAACTTTCATCATCCCGTCAAAAACTCTAAAAGTGATTCATGATTTTGTCAAGATCAAAATAGCTTATTTCCAGCCAAAGCCCAGCCCCTCAAATAGTTGAAAAATCTAGGAGAAAAAAATATAAAGAGCCAACGAAATAAAACTCATTACTCACATCATTGAGGATCGTCTCTGCTAAATGCTCGATTCTTAATATTCTCCCAACCGCTGGACCAAAACGTGAGTGCCACTCCCAATCATACATTTTGACAAATTTAATCCCATCATCTATGAATATAGTAGATATATTTGCAGCTTCAATGCATCTTGAAGTAACAGAAGTTATCCCACAGGATTTTCTATGCGCATCAACTGCATCAAAGGATGCCTCACAGTTGTACAGTCTAGCAATGTCTCTTACATTCCTCTGCATTAGAGAGTGGGATAGTGTCAAACGTTTATGAGATAAATAATAACAAAAGCTATCATAATCCATTGGTCAATTAAAATAAAACATAGCTAAAAAATATATTGCCAAAGCAGTATAGAAGTAGAGGTACAAGATTTCTTATATACGTCTAATAAGAACATTTATGGGCTTTGATTACAGATAATACAACCTTCTGAAATGTCTTTCCAAAAACCTGACCAATGCTTCTCTTTTGAGGATGAATGGATATATTTTTTATTGCATATTTGATCTTCCCCTATACGAGCAATATATAGAGAATTATACACCTTTTAACAATCCAATTCATTCTAAACTATATAATTGAAAAAACTCCCTTCAAATTTACAGCTGCCTAATTCATAAACTATGAGAGACTTTTTAGAAGTCTTTTGGCTGTCTGCAGTGAAAATTCTTCTATTTTTTTCAAGCAGGAAGAACTATTGTTATTTTTGGTTCTAGCAAGCGAAGAAACTATTTTGTCATAGAAGAAAATAGTTTTTATTTTGGATTCATGAATAGAGAGAGGAGAAGAGCAACTGCAACAAACAAATACTATTGCCTTCTTCATGCCTTCATGTCAAACCCCCTTCTTTGTTATATGTGATTATGTATTCTCTCAGTTGTATATAGTGATATCATTGTCAAAATTCCTAACTTTGAATATCGTGTAATCTTTTATGCATTCTTTCTAAAGCTTAGTAGATTATTCAATCTCTATGCGATCACAAATGTAGGATTAACTGAAATAGAAATTTTAAGAAGGAGCTAGCATCGGTTTCATGTTCAATAGAGAGACGGAGAGAGGGGGTGGACTTATAAGTACAGGTGGCGTTTGGGGCAGCTTATAAGTGCGGGCAGCATTGTTAAAACGTCGTCATACCGTTTGGATTGAGCGTTTCTCCAACTTATTCAAAAACGGCATTTTGAATTTGTTAAACATGCGGCCCGCGGGCGGGGTCCGTGTTTTCGTTTGAATTACTCCCATGACCCTCCCCGCTATTCGTTGGCATCTCCTTACCTTTCTCGTTCGCATCTCCTCAACTCTGATAGCTTCACGTGAAGGTGAAGCTCGCAAACTATCATGTGTCAGTTAAGACGATCGGAGTGGTGCTTGTCTGTGCCCTAGCGGTGGCAATCGCCTACTTCTCTTCCTCTCCATCGCAAGAACTGACTGCGTTGGTGGATTCGGCCCGAGAACATCTCTGTAGATTGGTAAAACCCCTTTCTGATTCCTCTCTTTTTTTCAGTTGACTGCATTTTCTGATTACTTCTTGTACAAGGCTCTATATACTTCAAGGATTGGATTAGGTCTCAAATAGTCTGTTTCTGCAATAATGATTGAGGAAAATTTATCGGGAGGAGAATATAGTTGAGTTTTCTGTTTTGGGTTTGAATGGATTCGGATGAGGAGCTTCGTTTGATTGGTTGTGTTTTTTTATCTTTTACAAAAGAACTTAACTGTGTTGAAGTGGATTGTAATTCCATATTATGTTGCTTATAGTTGTGATCGAACAAAACTAGAAGGATTTTAAACTAAAATGCCAAAAACTGGATAGGAAAATTCCTGTATGGGTATCCTATTCCTGTATGGGTATAGGAAAATTCCTGTATGGGTATCCTAAAATGGAGTTCCTTCGAAAACATTTCGAACTGATGAAGCTTACCGAGATTGGAAGACAGAACCTTTGGATGAAAGGCACATTTTAATTCAGTTGTCCAATGGGGAGGACTATACGCGTCTGTTTACTAGGCGATTGGTGTGGTTTGAGGACTGTTGAATGAAAGTCTTAAAATGGTCAGCCAATTTTGATCCCAAAGCTGAGGTTCTTATTATCCCTATTTGGCTTCGGTTCCCAGGTTTGAAAGTCCATCTTTTTAATCATGAAATTCTATTCTTCTTGGCCGCTATGTTTGAGAAGTTGTGAATAACGACGGCAATAAAGCGAAAAATGGAATGAAAAAAATTGCATACAGAGAAAAAACACCAGAGTGACACATAGATTTACGTGGTTCGGCAAATTTTTTTGCGTCCACGGAGCTGCAGAGGATTTATTTCTTTGAGAAATTACACCGTCGAGCGTCTCGACGTTTACAGCATGTTATTCTCTTATAATCACTTCCCTGCTATACATTTTACTTTTCTTTACACTACATGTTGTATTGCTTTCTTTGCTGCATACCCTATTATTTGTCCTGTGCTACATATCTATTGTTATGTTATACACTATACAACTTCAACATGTTATCTATAAAAATATCTGAAGAACTACAATCATAGGGCCGTTGAATTTGACATTATAACCTGACACCCTATAAAACTTAAACTCGTCACCACAAGAAGCTTGGAACTAGCACGGTGGGCAGTACGACCATCTTCAACAGCAGAAAATATGTTCCCCAGCTAAACCATTCCTTTCTTAGAAATTAAAACAACAATCCATAAGATTTCGAGGTTTTTCGCCTAGCGCAACATAAATCCTCAACTTTTCATTAGGTATTCGTACAGCTCTGCTGTACGATCTAAACCCTAACTCGTTTTAGGAATCTGAGGTCGTCGTCCGTCACGACCTAAATTCTTATATCTTTCAGGCTGTTTGTGTGATTGTTTCACACAAATGTAAGCCCTAATTAAATAAAAATAAACAGGATAAAACACTTGAATATTTTTCCTCGAAACTGAAGCCAAACCATAGGGTAGACTGGGAAGTCAGCGAGGTTCACCTTCGGATCTGTGGCATCCCCTAGTTCTTCCTCCTTTAGATTCTACAATAAATGTTCCAAATTTGAATCATTCACCTTTTGCACACCTCTTTGTCCGATCTCGTTGAAAAGTCTTATCCTTTTTATCTCCTCGAAGACAATCTTTCCTGATTTTTATCGAGGGTATTTTTAATTGACTTCGGTCATTTAGGATGTAATTAACTATAGGGATTTGCTCTTATAGGAAATTTTTCCGAACTCGGCTTAAAATAAACCATATTTAATTTTTCATATTAAATAGGGGAATTTGTCGGCAAATAAAACGGTTTCGCAGGTCAAACAAACATCATGTATTTCTTTGTTTATTTAATCGAGTCTCATCCTCAAGTCTTGTGTTTATCCTTCGGGATAGAACAGGGTTTGAGGTAAAGTGCTCTTTCATTTAAATTATGTTTAAATTATGAAAAATATGGGATATGAAAAATATGGGATTAGTTTGATTTTCATATTTGATTTTAAACTTAAATCTATATGTAAATTAAAGCGTCCTTCCAAAGCAGACGACGCGATTTCGATTATGGTGACCGACAGCTTCCTACGGGCAACTCCACCACACACCCCCCAACTTTTTATCGCCGACAGGGATACAATCTTTTCAAGTCTTATAATTTCTGATACTTGGGTGGATGGTCATCAAAATTTTCCTTTTCTCCTTAGCCTTCTAAGGCTCGAGGGAGCTACCTTTATTTCCACCATTCCTATTGATCCTCAAATGCAAGATACACCTACTTTGAAATTTCCCATGTCTTCCTCCACTACCCAATCTTTATATTCTGTCTTATATAATTTTCACAAGCTCCCTTAGGGAGAGGGTGTGTGGAGTTGGGCATTAACTCCCTCTATGTCTTTCCTGGCTTGGTGGATTTTCCACTCTGTTATTCCATGTGATGATATCTTAAAACTAAAGGTTTTGAGATTTTCCTCACGTTGTTGTTTCTGTAACTCGGCGGAGGAGACTGTTGAGCATATTTTCTTTTCTTGTTCTTATTCACTTTTCATTTGGAGGAAGGTTGGCATGTGGTTTGGCACTATTTTAAACCCGGATCGGAATCTTTTGCTTACCACTATGATTTGCAATCTGGATCAAAAGCAAAAACACTTTCTGCAAGTTTACCCTTACATTATATGTCGGTTTATTTAGATGGCTCGTAATGATATTAAACATGAGGATAAAGTCATTCAGAATATGAGGGTCTTTACAAATATTATTGTCTATATTAATAAGCTTTGGAGGACGGGTAATGCTAAACAAAGCTTCTTTCGGGCATAAATTATTTTCTTTTTTTGGGGCCTACAGACATACGAATTTGGATGAGAGGAGGCTCCCTCATCCACCAATTTTGGTGAGATGGCGGCCACCTCCCAGGGGGTGGGTAAAGTTTAACACTGATGGGAGTTGGAAATCCAACAGTGCTGGTTGTGGGGGCATTGCTAGGAATTGTGCAGGAAACTGTATTCTTTTCTTTCCCTCACCCTACTCCTATTGAGGCGGAGGCTCGGGCCATCTTGACTACCGTCATGATAGCTCACTCTCTCAGCTGGCATTTTATTATCTTTGAAAGTGATAATCGCAACTTGGTTGACAACCTTGCTAATTGTGCCGAGGCCCCTTGGGATATTCTCTATTATATTAAAAGGATTAAACTCTTAACCTCTCATATGGTTGTTATTTGGAGTTTTATAAAAGAGATGGATTTCCCCCTCCTTGTAGTACTAACCCCAATAACAGCTTGCTGAGATGCCCCCCCCCCCCCCCCCCCCCCGCCCCCTTTACACACATTGCTGGTTGGAGACAAGATAGATGTTCCTTATGTTCGTCGGGATGTTTCCTCCTAACATGTTATTATTAATTTGGTGGTATAGTTTGGCCTTGGCTTTGCAAATCATTTGGACTGTTTTCATTTTTCTATTTCTATTTCGGTCTGGCTTGGATTTCTGCTATCTTAGGAAATGTGGTTGCCCCTCTCCTGCTACTTAAAGTAATACCTACTTTTGGTTTTGTGGCGCCTTGTTCGGGTGCCAGCTCTTGCACCTGAGGATGCTAGTCGAGGGTCTCCCTTTCGTACCTATTCCCTTGTGGAATCTCTTTTTTTCTCTGTTTTTATGCTTATCTGTCTGAAGTGGTACTCCTACGCTCCTTTCAGGACCACAAGGTGTATTGGTTGCTCTCGGCTTCATCGGCTCACTGTCTACTATCTCGACTCCTTTTCTCCTTT